AGCATACTTTGCTTTTTGGCCAATTTTGAGGCCCTGTTAATTCCAGTTGCTGTGCCCGTATTTCTGGCCTCCCTTCTTAATGATTTTTATTTCACTCGAGCAGTAGCAGGCTGCTAGAGAACCAAGGGAACCGATAGCAAGAACCTCGGCAATGGGGCACAGTTTAAAATTACGTTTTCCTCAGTGGTGAGCTGACACTCCCATGAGCCCAAAGTTTCTCATCTCGCTAGCAGGGAGCGGAAAGCGGATGGTGGAAATGCATTGGGTCTCCAAGGGTAGGAAGCCTGATAAAAGTTTCTGTAATTAAATAGTGTTTAATCTAGCAAATAGTATGTTTAATAGTATTCCTGTCCTCTGTATATTTGATGGTGTTATTTTTCCTGTTTATTGTATTTACCTTTCATGTATTATACTTGCCTTTTGTATTTTAAATAAACACAGATTTTTTTGCCCTGAAACACTTGTCTACTGCCTTCTTCATTTCACATTCCCTAAATAAGTCCAGTGTCTCGAACCGGGGATCTGGGGGTGATTAGAACAACTTAAAAATCAGAAAATTACTGATTGCAGACCAGAGCCCGACACCAAGCAATCGTGTCTATCTCTGGAAGTGTCTGGGGTTTCGATCCTTGCTCTTCAGGGTTCTGCTCAGGGAGAGTTCTGGAGTTGAACGCTGATGCAATTTTCTCTCTTTAAAGTTTGTGGTGTTACGTTTTTGATGATCCTATAGATTCTTTCACACCCCCAACATTGAAAACACTTATAGAGTCCTCAAGTTCATAGCTTGCCTTCTTATAAGCAGTAGCTCCATTGTTCCTTGTTAGATTCAGAATTACCTGTCTGTTTGAAAACACAACTTTTCCTGCAATGAACCCCTTTACTTCAGGACATTACTTCTGCAGGCAGTCTTAATTGCCTATTTGTCATGAGACAGTAAGTTATCCATTAGTCTTACCTCCTCTCTCCCAGGAAACAACTTATTTATGTTCCTTCAACTCCTTCTTCCCAGGGATGGTTAATTCGCATGTTGCTTTTAATTCCTTTCTAACAGTTTCTCCTTTTCCGTTTCATTTAGGGAAAAAAAAATACCAGAAAAGAATTGTCGCTGATTCTTTCAATCCATGTCGTTATAAAAGTTCTGAAGTTTACATTGTCAAACTGCCCACCACAAAGATCTCTTCCAATAATTTTGCAGCCCATTTTTGGGTGACGTCGTTGAAAGCTGACCACTCAATGCCTACGGAAACTACATGTTCACTCATTTGTACCGAAAAAATGATTAACCAGATCTTATCATCCTTGTGGACTCCATTTTTTTTATTCATTAACAGGATGAGGGTGTTACTGACTAGGCAGCATTTATGGGACATTAGTGAACCAGATGGGATTTTCCCCAAAGCAGTGGATTCATGATGAGTTTCTTAATTCCAGATTTTTTTTTAAATGGAATTCAAATTCCACTATCTGCTGCAGCAGGATTCAAACCCAGGTCCCTGGAACACTATCTGGGTCTGTGGATTAACAAGCCAGCAATAATACCACTTGGCCATCACCTCCTGTACGTTTAAATAGCCTCCTGCTTGTTTTGATGGGGAGGGAGGTTAGTGAAGTGATAATGACTTCTGTCTGCCTATTTAAACACTTGGCTGAAACTTCTCTACATGAAACAAGAAAAGGTGTAAGAATGTACTTGAAAGCTACTTTCTGATGAAGCTAACTTTTTTTTTCCTTTCACTTGTTTTGAGACTCTTAGTGCATTTATTTTTATTTGTCATCAATAATTTCTTTTGATTTATCCGTAGGCAACTCTGAATGGTACCTTCGGGATTAAGTGCATTGATCTGTTGCCTAGTCTTTGTCTGATTGAAGTCACTGTGCACTGATGGGCTATTCAGCAGTCACTGTTAATTCACTGTTTTGTTTTAGTTCTCTGTGGTCTGAAGATAACCCTGGTATTCCCTTAAGTAACAACAGTAGAAGGGAAGAAAATAAATAGACCTGTTTTATTAACAGGTAATATTTCCAAGCTCATCTTGCTGAATGCCCAGCTTCATAGTACCTGCAGTTGTGAACATATGGCAGGATTATGAATACATTTTTGTATTTATATTTCACTCCATCCTGATCTTTGAAACAGGAACTCTGAAGACAATAGAGTTTCCATAACATATTGGGGGCAAACTTGAATTTTGGGCTGTATCTTTCTTTGGGATGAGAATAATGAGGTGGTTGTTTTTGACCATCTCAATGGGCTAAAGGATCTTTTTCTGTGCCATAGACTGTATGAGTGTATCTCGTGGGAAAAACTGTATCATTATAATGTCACAAGTTTGATGGAATGGTGGGATTTAAGCTCCAAAAATAATTCTGGAATTTAACACTAGTTATGAAAATAATTGAAAACTAGTGATGACCACGGCAGCTATCATAGATTGTTACTCAAAACCATCTAGTCAACTGATGTCAATAAGGGTAGGAAATTCTTATCTGGTAAGTAGGGAAGTCTTGCTGCAACTGTACAGTCATCTATGAATGCTATCCCTAACTGGTTTGACACCAGACCCATAAAACTGTGGTTGACTGCCTTTCAAATGGTCAAGCCAGTCATTGGTTCAAGAGCAGTTAGGGATAAGCAGTAAATGCTGGTCATGCAGGCAGCTCCCACATCCAATGAAAGAATACATTTAAAAATATATATAAATGCATTGGTGTAGACTTCCAAAAGGGTGTCTCTGCTCTAGAGTCACGAGAACCTTCCCAAATCAATTTTGCATTCTCTCGGAAAATTAACAACTCCTGTAAAATTCAGCTCTATCTAAATGGAGCACAAACACTTCTAATCCAGTTGGCAATGGTAGCACACCACCTCACTTAAAACTTGCTTTTTTTCCAATGCATTAATTTCTAGATTATTCAAGTAGCCACCAAATTGCCATCTATACCAGCTATAACAAATAGATTGAACATTGTAAATCTAAACTGTGTAATTCTAAATAAATTACTTTTGGCTACCAGTACATGGCTACGATTTTCTTCATAGCTTAACTTGTAATATAACGTGCATTTGATAAAAGTCAATTGATTCTAAGAAAATCAGAAGTAAAATCTTTCTTGTCACATTCTCTCACTGTAGCCCTCTAATAATGCGTGTGCTAGTGATGGCTGATTTACTAATAAGGAAAATGTATGAGATACCTGACCCCAATGTCATTTAAGAATAACACATGTTGCCCCTCTTATAAAGAGGATTACGTTAATTATCGCATATCACACTGTTTTGATGTGATAAATTACGGAATCTGTGTGCTCTTGGGAGCAACATGGAAGTAAAAGTTGCATTTCTCTGGTCAAATCTGTTCAGTGCTAAAGTGAAATGGAGAAGGAAAGCTTTCTCTTGATGAAGACCTATTGCCATGAGAAACTCTTGGAGCAGAAGATGCACCTTGTGCTCCATCTGCCAGTTAATAAGATTATGGCTCATTTGATTGTAACGTCAATATCACATTCCCTCATTCCCCCTCATAAACATTCAGGCCACCACCACCACCCCACCCCACCCACCCCCAACTTGTTTATCAAGAATCCAACGCAAACGTATCAACCACGATCTTATTGAACGGTGCTGCAAACATGACCCTTCCTCCTGTTGAAATAGAACTGAATATGACAGTTTGTAGTGCATAATACCTCAACAATACAGTTCTCCTGCACCTGCTCCCCCACGTCCAGTATTGGTTAAAACTGGAAGTGGGCATGTTTGACGGACGTTGTACTTAGACTTGAGATGTTTAATGCTTTTATCATCACGCCCAAATCAAACATTTACATTACTCACCTTGGTTTCTAGCACAGAAAGTGTGATCATGATTCCCTCACCTGCGCTTGTTCACTCTTTCAGTTGAAGTTAAGGACATAAAGGTGGTGTTCATGGATTGGACAGCTCCATGGCCACGTAAAAGAGACACTTTCAGACAGAAGAGCTGAGTGGACTAAGATGATACGCACCTGGAATGTTTATTTCCATGAGTAAATTTATTCCAAGTAAACACTGGCTTTGATTTACTATTTCACCAACTGGCTGTTAGGAATATAACAGCCATAGTCTCCAAGCAAAATATGTGTCATAAAGCAGACAACGCCCCCCCACCACCCCTCAATGAGAACTAAAACAAAAACAACCAAAGAGGAGCACCATGCCCTATAATCTGTGAAAGGTGTGTGAAAAATGGTATATATAACCTGCCTTTCAGCAACTTCTAGTGGTTAAATAAAATAGATCCCTGACACTCACTTTATTATTAACAACTAACAATTTATTAATCTAACTCTAACAGTGAACAAATTAACTAAACTATTAAAAAAACAAACAAATGCATTCTAACTATGAACTATTCCTGAATAACTCAAGATTCTAGTGGTATGCTGTTCCAATAAATACAAGTTCCACTTACAAAACAAAACTTTAGTCTCTCGAAATTATAGCCAGGTTACATCTTCTGGAATGTTCTTTGTCTTCTCCATCAATTCTTCTATCAGGAATGCTTTCTCTGTAAATTCTTCAGTTTGGAATCTTAGCTAGAAGGGCCATGGTACTGTTGTGAATAGATGCTGCTTTCTCTATGGGCTGAGAGCTGTTATCTCTAGCAGATGGCAGTTAGCTCTGATAATTTTCCAACTGCCTCTGCTTTTTAGTACCCCTGATGACATATCAATTTCTTACAGTTGTATCGGTCCTAGGTTGTCAAAACCGTCAGATTCAAAGTTGATAGCTTTTCGATATCTAAGTGCATGGTTCAAATTGATTAGCTCAATTCAGAACACGAGTGAGTGGGTCAAAGGCATTATAGATTCTCGTGGACATGAATGATGGAAATTTCTATGACGTGCTTGAGAATACAAAGATAAATACTGGTCGTGCGGTTTTTTTCATGGGATTGGGGTGTGAAGAAAAACTTCAAATCGTAAATAAAAGCTTTTATTGCTACTGTTTGTTCCTACAGGAAGTGATACCACCAAGCTGTCGCTCATGAATAAATACAAAGAGAACTTATTAGCCACCAGCCCTGTGGACATCAGTCATCAGCAGACAGCTTTGCTCCCACGCAGTTCCTCCAGTGGACAAAGAAAACGTTTCACCAGTAAATCCAGAGGTCAGTTCTTCACTGTATTCTCAGATTTGGACTGTTTAGTCCAGGGTTATCAAAGTAATACCTTTATTTCCTAAATTTATCATCAAGTGAGACAAAGAAAAATGCCTTTAAATACTAATGTAGTCACTCAGGCTGAAATCCAATTCTCAATATAATCACTGCCAATGCTGGAGTCTGAGATAACACAGTGTGGAACTGATGGAACACAGCAGGCCAGGCAGCATCAGAGGAGCAGTAAAACTGATGTTTCGGGTCAGGACCCTTCTTCGGTACTGAAGAAGGGTCCCGACCCAAAACACCAGCTTTCCTACTCCTCTGATGCTGCCTGGCCTGCTGTGTTCCTCTAGCTCCACACCTTGCTATCACAATCTAATCATGTTCTGTTGTTAAATGAAAAAGTTAAACCATGCTCATACGTCCATCAGCTTCACTCTTCCAATAGAGTAGGTCTCACAGGTTGTTATTGTTCTTGCACTTATTATCCTAGTCTAATGGCTCATAATCAAGCATTCCTCTTTGCTTATTTTCACCCAAACCTGGGGGAAGAGGAGGGGAAGGGCAGAAGGATTAGAAGGATGATCAACCTGTGGAACCACATTGGCCATGGAAGGACAGTCCACAATTTGCCCTGTTGGGGACATGAACCCAGGACCCCTGGCCCAGAGGAAGGAATACTACTACTGCCAGTTTATCCCAAGTGTTTACGTAGCTGGAGGTAGAACTTGCATTTACACCGTGACCATTCACAGGGATGAATTTTCCCAACGCAGAGAGAGAGGTGATGGCCTAGTGGTATTATCGCTGGACTGTTAATCCAGAGACCCTGATAATGTGCTGGGGACCCGGGTTCGAATTCTGCCACAGCAGATGGTGAAGTCTGAATTCAATAAATGTCTGGAACTTGAATCTAATGCTAACTACAAATCAATTGTCAGGAAAAACACATCTGGTTCACCATTGTCCTTTAGGGAAGGAAACTGCCATCCTTACCTGGTCTGGCCTACATGTGACTCCAGTCCCACAGCAATGTGGTTGACTCTTAACTGCTCTCTGGGCAATTAGGGATGGGCAATAAATGCTGCCCAGTTAGCGACACCCTCATCTTATGAATGAATTTAAATAAACACTTTAGAGATTGCCTAGGCACAAAGAGACTTGAGATGGTGACAAGTGAGAAAAATTTTCATGGCACGTTGGCAGCACTGGGAACAAGCAGCCAACTGAACCAATCAAGCCAACAATAAAGTTTTGCTTTCTAAACCAGAGGCATTGGGCCCACATCAGGGCCATTTACTTTGGAAGGAGACCCGGAGCATACCTGGGAGATCTAGCAATGGATATCTAGGGAGTAGGAGCTTCTCTCCCTGAGTGCTACACGGCTCATGGAGAGGTCACCCAGCGGTGATGGACACTGTCCTGTGCTCAAGCTCTCTCACCCTCCCAAACACAAAAGTCTGCTTGCTTGGTCCTGGCATTTCTGAAGAAATTTATATACCTTTGAGGACATTTCAGGCATTGAGGTGCCTTCTTATTTATGATGCAGCTTCAGCGGCCCACCACTGGCAGTATTGTAGAGACTGCTAAGATGCCAGCCTTCTGACCTGAACTACAGCTTTTTGGGGGTGGGTCATTGACTTTATTTGACTGCCAGCAAGGTCTTGGCAAGGTCTTCTTCCTCATGTTGTCTTCTTTAGAGCACACAACCTGCTCCACTGGCAAGTATTAAGGAGAAAAGTAATGGGTTCTTTTTCTCATGTAACTAAAGTTGTAGGTACGTTCAAACAGTCAATTTTACCAAGAGTGCTTCAGCATCATCTAGAATGACAGAATCCCAAGAGTGTGGAAGCAGGCCATTCAGTCCATCCTGACCTTCTGAAGAGCATCCCACCCAGACACAACCCCCTACCCTATCCCCATAACCCTGCATTTTCCATGGCTGATCCACCTAACCTACACATCCCTGGACACTATGGGCAATTTAGCATAGCCAATCCACCTAACCTGCACATCTTTGGATGGTGGAAGGAAACCGGAGCACCTAGAGGAAGCCCACGCAGACACAGGGAAAACATGCAAACTCCACACAGACAGTCATCCAGGGGTGGAATCAAATCTGGGTCCCTGCTGCTTTGAGGCAGCTATGATAAACACTGAGCCACTATGCCACCTGTAAAGTTAATGTTTAAAGCATTACTCAATGAACTCAATGCTTCCTATTGTGAACTAATCTTCTGTGCTGGTTGGTCGAGTGATGGTCCCGCAATGATTCTTCAAGATGGTGTCCGAAATTTTTGCTTTTGTTCAATCGAGGAATCAAGGGTAGTGAACTGTCATACAATACATGATTCCTTGACCTCACACTCCTTTCCAGACATAACTTTAAAACTGAATGAGCTGAACTGTGAACAGCAGGCGAAGGACAGAGACCTAACACATAGAATCAGTGCTGTGAAGGCATTCAAATTTAAACTAGCACTGTGCTCCTCCCAATTCAAAACAAAAATAAGTCCGTAACTCTTGCTGATTCTGGAGAAAATGTTTTTAACATGTCAAAGACAAAGTAAAATGAAACCACCCAGAAAATGTCTGTACACGCGTGAAAAAGTCCACTTAGTTGTGAAGGAACAAATCGTCAAATCCACTCCTTCAAGGAGACCTTCGTGGGCTGGCTACCAAATTCCATCATATGCTTGATTTGTTTTTTTGATCAGCAGTGGAGTTAATATTGGGACAATTTCTATGGAAATAATATTGAGCTGAAAGCCCTATCAAAGGACCCTTAGTTTTGGGAGACTTGTCATCCGAGAGCAATGCCCACTCCTAACATCCCGTACTTTTAAAATGAAATGACATCTGCTGGCATTACCATGTAATCCAGAAAATGAATGTAAATATGCCACACTACTGCAAGAAGGCAGCTCACCACCACCTTCTCAAGGCCAATAAGTGAAGGCAAACAAATATTGACCTTACCAGCAATGCTTTGATCCTAGAATACTGGACTGTTGCCTTTCAATGAATGCTTTCTGCTTTACCTAAATCTTTAGTAGTGAACATATCTGGGCACAAACTTATATGAAAACATTAGCAATTATAAAATATAGAGTAACATATTGACAAACACTCAAAATGTTTACATGTACCTTGAGCCTTTTCTGCTCACTTTTGCAATTGATGTCTTGTCCAATGGTGAGTTTTAGTTTTCTTTTTTCATCCTTGAATCAACCTGTTCAAAGATGTTATTGCATGCCTCTGGAGCAGGTGGGACTTGAACCTGGGCCTCCCAGTCTAGGGGTAGGGACACTACTACTGGGCCACAAGAGGGCCCATAAGTTTCAATTTTCAGCTATTTAGTACACTAAAATATTTTAATTAACTCAGTCATATTCTTTATTTTGCAATTGTACTTTGTCTTTTTTTATTGCTCAGTGCAAAATCCTGTTTTCTAGCTCATTCCTGATAGAAAGCAATTTGTTCATCCTCACTATATTAATACAAGCGATAAAGTCTCAACGAAACATGTTAGCAATCTTATGAAATCTAGTGTAGAAATGCAAGAGTTGGCAGTGGCTCAAGAAGGGACTCGCCATCACTTTCTCGGGCAATTAGGGATGGGCTACAAATACAGCAATGGCAGCAATGGTCACATGGTGACCATGTGGTCAATGATCACATCCCAGGGCAAAAATGGTTGAAAAATGATCTAAGGTCAAATAGTCTTCAAAGCCAACATTTTATCACAATTCAGGAATCAAAACTGCCTTTTAATCACAGAAATTGTGTTACAATTATAGATACGTTTGATTTGATGTTTGGAAGTCCAAAAAACGTACTGTATAATTTGTAAATGTTACAAAAGATTAACTCTGTTGAGCCAGCAGACATTCAGAATTTCTTATCTAATGAAAATGACCTTTCACGGATATAAAGAGAAATCACTGCCTTACACTTCAGATACAGTCAATGTCTTTTAAGAGCTGATAGATTTTTAGATAAAAGTAACTTGCACTTCATGATGATTCATTTTATTGGAAATCGCTTCTGTGTGCAGCACACCATCCCACTACTGCTATTTGATCCAATACTGTTTTAAAAGAACAGTGATAAAGTTAGAAACCCCCTGAAGACAGTTACTATTTTCATTTAGCTAAGTCTCTTTGAAATACAGAAGCTACATACCTGAAGAATAAATAATCCAATCAGCCCTATAAAGCGAGCCATTAGTTCAAGACAGATTATAGGGATTTTTTTTATGCTTGCATAATATGATATCAATGTTTTCCTATACAATGTGTCCTGGACAATCTCAAATCGGAATTGGACATTTATTATCAAGCAGGTTGCTTTAGTTTGAAAAGTGCCTTGGTCTTGAAAAGCATCACTGGGAAGATTGGGACAATTGAAAATTTCTGCAGGTTATGACAAATTGTATCCTTCAAGCCTCTCATGAGTAGGGACCAGTGCATCATTCTACCCACTTTCCCACTAATAAGACCATATTGGCAGTCATGGAAGAGGCAGCATAATAGCTATGCCTATTTGCAATGCTGGAGGAGATGCTAAGCAAATTTCCTCTGGACCTGATCCCTTGACTCTCTTATGACATCTTCCTTCTTTCCTGCAGTGTAATGTAATGCACAGCCTGTCTCTTTTTGTTTCATTTCAACTCCTCGAAATGTGGAGGCCTCACCCAGTGGAGGAAATCAGTTCTGACAGATAGTCAAATTTAGGAAGATGAGAGATTAAATTAGATTATACGTGAGCCCTGTTTCAGGGGATGCAAGTACTCCTTTAAGTTGAAGGCTGTGGGTTCACATCCACTTCAGAGACTTGAGCACAAAATCTGAGCTGATCCTTCTTTATATTGCACAGTCATGGCTCATCTTTCTAGTGAGACACTAAACTGAAGCCCAATCAATTTATTTCATGGACTTAATGGTACTACTTAAAAGAAGAGCAACGCTCCTTCAAAGACCTTTATTATTAAGCAGATTTTCCCT